TCTGCCTCCAGCCTGGCCGCTCATCCTTCTTTGCTTGCTGTGGATCCAGTGCCAGGGCACAGCAAGCATAGGGCTAGGAGTAAAAAGGGAACTGAAACCCAGGTGGAAGTATAGAGTTGTGTGTGTATTTCTCAAGGGTCGTCCCAGCCTTTTGTGCGCCCTTGCATGGTGTGGCAGATTTTGTGCCTAGGGACAACTCGGGGATAGTGTGGGCTGGGTACTGTTCCCAATAGACTCAAAGTGTCATTGAGTATTTAACTCTGTGATTGAGGGCTGTGCCGTGCTCCTCACTCTCAGTGCCAGGAGCAAAACAGCTGAGTTCTGTAAGCCTGGATCTCACTTTTGAAGTGCAGTCCCCTGCAGCAGCTGCTAGAGGCAGCCAGAGCCTTTGTTCACCCGCTAATCCTTCTCCCGTTTCCACTTTTCCTCTCTGAAGAGGGAAAATGTCACAAAACAAGTTGAAGGTGAGTGGGTAGGGTGTGAGCATGTGCTTGGCTGAAACTGGGAAAGGTTCTGTCTGCTGGGCAGGGCTGAACATGCAGTGTGACTCAGTGTCCCAGGCTCCATGTTGTAAGCTGTTGGCCATGTTTGACCTCCTGGCTTATGGAGTGGTAGAGGCAGTGTGGCGATGAGGCAGAGACCATAGAATGATGGAGTACTCTGAGTTGGAAAGGACCCATAAGGATCATCAAGTCTAATTCCTGGTTGTACACAGGACCACTCAATCAAATCAGACCCTTTGTCTGAGAGCCCTGTCCAGGTGCTTCTTTACTCTGGCAAACTCAAGGCCATGACCGTTGCCCTGGGGAGCCTGTTCCAGCCCTGTGATGAAGAACTTTTTCATGCTATCCAACCTGAAACCCCTGAAAAACAGAAGGGAATCCAGTAAGTAACTGGTTACAGCAGCCTGCATTTGGGCCATGCTTTGACTTTGGACTCATCTTTGGGCTCAGAGACCAATTAGCTCCGGTGATCCTCACCCATCCATTTGCTGGTGGGCACTGGGCTTTCTCCATCTCTCCCTGATCTGGTTCCTTGGGGAGCTGTGTCTCCATCAGAGCCATTGAGGAAAGATTCACACCCCTTTCCTAATGAGACAGAGTGAGTAATAGAGATGTTCCTCAGGGACAGTGTTGTAAGCGGTGCTACATGCATGGTCAGGACCAGAGAGCAGGTTTCCACTAGCTTCTCCCTGCTATTGTGCAGCAGACACTGATGCATGTCCCATCTTGACAGCAGAGATAACCTATCTGTGTGGTGGTGGGAGCTTATGTCACAGCTGCAGCCACCATTCCTCGCATTGTTCTTATCAAATCTCCTGGCTTGCCGAGTCTTTGTTGCACGCTGGATAGCAGTGTGTTTGGTTCTCCATACGATAAGATTTGTCTGGTGTGACTCGTGTCCCAAGCATTTTGCTTGTAGTCCTCTTCCCCCTCTTGGGAGCAAGTGATCTCTGTCCAGGAATTGGACTGCGACTGTGTCTGCTTCGAGGCAGGATGGGCTGCAGAGGGGAGCAGTGCAGAGCAGCCCAGAGATGCGCAGCCTGGCTCTGCTAGCAGTAATGGGGAAAATAACAGCAGCAGAAGGAGACATGGGCTGGAGGGAAGGGAGCCAGAGAGAGCAAACGACGCAGCATGACCACTGAGAACGCAAAATAAACATCCTCTGTGGCCAAGCAAGGGCTTTTGTAAACTACTGACCATCTTGGCGGCTGCATGAGAAGGGTCAGAAATGGGAATAAAGGCTCATGGGAGCATCAAGAGAAGGGACAGCATTCCATATGGGACTGATCAGCCGAACAACATGTCCTCAAGTGCATGACATGTCCCTCAGTGCTTAGTATAGCCCTAGAAAGGGAGATTCAGTGTCCCAGCTGCTGCTGATCACCCTGTGGTACTGTGCAAGTGCTCCCTGACCCTGCAGGTCAGCTGCTGGCTTTGAGAGCTTTCTTTGAGAGCTTTGAGAGCTCTAAGCGAGGCTGTGGCCGTAGTTCTCCTCATGCCTGCATGAGTGGAGTCTCTGCACTGTTCCCTAGAGTTCCTGCAGTGCTTTTGGGTCTGTCTCATCTCTCCTCCACGTGGCTTGCTCTGGAGGTCCATCTGTGCATTTCTGGTGCCCTTTGCTCTGATAGCAGGGAGGGCAGGAACAGGGAGCGTCAGTTCTGCGGGCCTGGGCTTTTCTTAGGTCTGCTTTAGATGCTTGCAGTTCTCTCTTTAGAAGCCCATTTCCCACACTGAGTCACTCATTTTGGGATTTTGCTTCCCTTTTTTTAGAGCTTTTCTTCTCCATTTCCATCTGGTTTGGTTTTTACTGTTTCATTTCGCAGGACCATCAAAGGGAATGCATTCTAGTTAATTTCAGAGCAGCAGAAGCAGATAGTTTCAACTTGACAGCTCCTTCCTCTGAAGACCTCAGCCACAGCTTTGGATCCAAAGCCCCTCCAGACCCTCTCAAAGCTGATGGGGTAAGGTGGCTTGCTGCTTCCTGGCACATACGAGAGGTGTGAGGGTTTAGCAATGTGAGCATAGGAGGGAGACTTTTTTCTTTCCTTCTTTCCAGCCCATGAGCTGTTAATTCTTGTGGCTTTTCATAACTTGCTATTGCTCCATTAGCATTTCTTTCTCTCTCTCTTTCCTCTTTTTTTTTTTTTTTTTTTCCAGTGGATGAGCCACTCTTGGCATCACTCCTTGTGCGTGTGACTCAGACAGATTCTGCTTGTCTGAAGGATTCCTGCAAATCCTCAGAGGTGTCCAACCCGCCTCGGCACAGTGCTGGAACCTGTGAGAAAGGCGCTGGGAGTGAGCGGTGCGGCACCAGCAGCCTTGTTCTATGGCACTGGGCATGGAGGCTCTGCCTGCATCCTCACTGCATGCCCTGGCTGTGGTGTGGGGCTGGACCCCAGCATTGCTGCTCTGAGCTTGATGGAAGGAGGTCTCCATAGACATTTTGTGTATGGCGCAATTCTGCTTTTCTGCTTGTTCAAGTTCTAGCCAGCTGGCCTCATGCTGTCTCTGCTGTGGGAAATGATCCCCTTGAATTCAGAGAAGTTGGGCTTGGGGCATCTTGGAAGTCCCCTTGTTTCCATTGTTGGAAGGAGACCATTCATTTTTAATGCCTCTAGTTTTCCCATGTGCAAGATGAGGAGCCTGCCATCTTCCTTATTCAGTGGTGAAAGAAAGCTGTTTGGGATCATAATCTTTTGGCATAAAATGCACATGGAACACAAGACCTCATGAAGCCGATTCTCTGTAGAGAGCTCTATGGAAGAGACTTTACCTGTTTTGCTAATATCTCATCCAGCAAAGCAGGGAGATCCCAAAAAAATATGAGAGTGAAAAAAGCCATGAGCTTTCTACACATCTTCTCCTTTGCCATTATTGAGGAAAGTTTTTAACAAACGCATTTTTATCTCCAGGCGTGTTTTTCAAAGCCTTTCCCACAACCAACATTCCTGACATGCCCCATGAGGGAAAGAATTAGAGAAATGAAGGCTGGAAATGGAACGGGGTGGCATGTAATCAGTCCTCTGACCTCTTTTCCATACATTCTGCCAGTTCTCCTGCTCCTCGGGCAAGCTGAAGACCCGTAGCACATGACTCATCTGGTTGCTTGAGTTGGTGTCTGGTGTTATGAGCCAACTTCCATGCATGCAAGCTTCTTTCCTCCTTTCCCCTTCCACGACTCATACTCCACAAAAATGCTGCCACAGACTTCATTGCTTCCCAAGGGGGATATCCCCTTGAAAAGCAGAAGGCTGTAACTCGGTCCTGGGGATTGAAACCATCCATCAGAGCACATTTGAACTCCCCATGGAGATGAGAGATGTCAGTCACTGTGGCACCTTTCTAATATGACAGGGAAAGAGATGGAGGGCAAGGCTACAGCCCTTCCCTCTGCTCTTAATCTGCTCCACTGTTTCAGTTCTGGTTCCCCTTTTCCCTCCTATATTAGAATTGTTTAATCTGGAGAGGAGGTGGCTCAGGGGAGACCTTATCACTCTCTACAACCAAGCTGGAAGGAGGCTGTGGCAAGGTAGAGGTCAGTCTCTTTTTCCAAGGTAACAGTAATAGAATGAGAGGTGATGGCCTCAAGTTGCTCCAGAGGAGGTTCAGGTTGGATATTGGGGAAAATTTCTTCTCAGGATGAGTGGTGCTGCAGTGGCACAGGCTGCCCAGGGAGGTGGTGGAGTCACCCTCCTTGGAGGTGTTTCAGAACCATGTGGATGTGGCACTGAGGGACGTGGTCAGTGGGCATGGTGGGGATGGGCTGACAGTAATTTCCTGCTGCCCTAGCTCTGCAGAAAAGTTGTTAGTTTTTTTTAGTTTAATGTTTTTTTTTTGGTTTT